TTTTTTTTTTTTTTTTTTTTTTCTAGATCTCTTTCATATTTGTTAAACTCATTACTGTTGTACAACTAGGCCAGTTATTTTCTCTGTGTCCCTACATTTCAGAAATCATTACTATTATTTAATAAGATAAATTTTTTTCCAGGTCTCTCTACAACCTATGGTAAGCTGATCAATGGTCAGGACACATTTGTGGCAGGTGCCCCGCGCAGCCAGAACTCAGGCCAGGTGGTCCTGTTCCGTAAACCTGTGTCTGGAAGTATTCTGGAGTGGGAGCCAGAGTACATTCTGACAGGGGAAGGGTTCGGCTCAATGTATGGATATGCCGTGGCTGTCATTGATCTGAATAACGATAAGTGAGTTAATCTCTCTTTCTCTCTCTCTCTGTCTCTCTCTCTCTCTCTCTCTCTCTCATTTTAACTTAGTAAAGGTAAGCAAGTGCTTGTGAGTCATGCATGTGATTCTGTCAGTAAGCAAAGTGATTCTGTAAGTAAGCAAAGTGATGGCATTTATCATGCTTTTTAGTTTCAACAAAAATAATCTTCAGAATCGGTGGCTATATTTGAATTCCGTTGGAACTTTGCAATTTTATTATTTGAACTTTTCAGGTTAGACGATCTAGTGGTTGGTGCACCATATTACGTAGATAAAGATCAGCGTCAAGAGAAGCGTGCAGGTGGAGCCATCTATGTTTATTTAAATGGCCCTGGGGTAGGTCTTCTGAAATAAAACTAGATAGTTAAGAAGGGCTGATTCTTGGCAGATGATTTTGAAAAAGGGGGCATTTTTGAAGATCACATAAGGATTTCAATGTTTTTTCTGTAACTTGTTTTATATTGCTGAATACTGCTGGATGAGATGTAGATTTTTAGTATATGAACGTTGATAGATTTTGATTTGGAATTTCCAGGAATAATTTGTGAAAAGTGTTACACTTTTAAACATCCCAAGTACTCTGTATTTTCCAGGGAATTACAGACAGGACAGTACCAAAGACAATTTTAGGTCGCAAGATGACAGAGGCCGATTGCGCCAAGCTGACTTGTGAGCATGCTCAGTTTGGACTGTCACTAGCAAACATGGGGGACATTGACAATGATGGATATGACGGTATGAACTCCAGTATATTCTGAGTGCTTAAAACAATTATTGCTTGATAAATAAATTGAAAGGTCCAGACTATGACCTTGTATGCCTTGTCAAATTTAGATAGCAAATGTAGCATTTTTTTTTTTAGGTTTTTTTTCTTTTCATTATGTTTCCAATAATTATTCATTCATATTACAACTGACAGAAACCTGGCAGTTCATACCCAGTGGACATACCAACCTCTCTGATCCTATGCTGAAATATTAATATACTGTTATCGTTACTAAACTAATGAATTCATTTTCCTCCAGATCTGGCTGTTGGAGCCCCATTTGAAGGAGATGGAGCAGTGTACATCTACCATGGCTCACAGAGTGGGATCCAGGAAGAATACTCACAGGTAGGGGTACAGCTTGGCTGTTTGGCACTCAGCATGGCAATAAAAATACAGTGGCTATTTAGCCCATTTTTAGGCAGTGTATTAGATTTTTTTTTAAATAAATCAGTTTAATTATTTTGAAAAAGGCTATAAAAGTTATGAGAGTAATGAATAACTAAGAACATAGTTAAATAAATATTAAAGGTGGAGACTGTTGATACATAGGTACTTCTGTTAATTTGATTACATTTTTATGTATATGGTTATTATGTTTTAAATAAGTTTTAATTCTAGATTCTGTATATTTCAGAGAATTGAGGCCAGTGACCTTGCCCTTCCTTCTGGCATGACAGCACCCACGTCCTTCGGCTACTCCCTCTCAGGAGGTCGTGACCTTGACAATAATAAATACAACGATCTTCTTATTGGTGCCTTCCAATCTAACACTGCCATTTTGCTCAGGGCGCAGCCAATTTTAAGAATTTTGGTGAACTGGCAAGACCAGCCGTTTAAGATCGACCCTGAGAGTTACGAGTGCAGTGATGGTACAAAGCTCAGCTGCGCCATCTATAGGTTTTGTTTCAAATATGTAGAGCCAACCAACAGGTATGAAGATGAGCTTTGTTGAGTAAAGGAAAATTTAAGGAAGTGAATAGTAATGATTAATTAATAAAGTCTAAAATCCTTTTAAAATGTTTAGTAGACTTTACATTAAAACTAGCACTTGAGAACACAGTTGTGGAGATATGTAAGATTTTTTTTAATTATTAAGAAAATAAAGATTCTAGATAAGAACAGCCTAATTCTCATGAATTATGTAAATTTATCTGTAAAAATAATTTCTTAAAAGAAATAAATAAGGTTTATATGTTAAATAAATTTTTAATATAATTTTCTTTATTAGAGTTAATATAAAAGTTTATTAGATGTAATATTTTATCATGATTGAGTTGATATTTTATGAACATATTAGGTTTCCAGTTGCCTGCAATTCCTTGACATTAACACTATCCCCTCCTCATCATTCAGTTTTACATTTTACCCTGCTCTGTTTATCTCAGCTTCAGGGACTCCATCAGGATGCAGTACACCTTCACGGTGGACTCCGACAGTCAAATCCCTCGCCTGAAGTTTGCCAATCTCCCCCAGGATAACATGAAGGACAGTGAAGTGACCCGCACCGTGGACCTGGCCGAGGCAGGGAAAGATGTCTGCCTGTCTGAGATAGCCTATGTCAAGGTGAGGGAACTGGGTCAAGGTTAGTAAGGTTGGGGCATGTTATAATTGGATAAAATTTGGCACATTGCGGTCAAGGATGTTATACCCATATCAAATTTAACTGTACTTTGTCAAATTTGGTAGAATAAAAATAAGGTCATGATGAAAATTTTTAATTGTTTCTGTCACTTAATTTAGCAATTTCGCAAATGATGTTAATATTTCAGAATGGCACCAAAGAAATCCTGCGCCCGATTCCATTTATGCTTAAGTGGTCACTACAGGAGAAGACGGTGCCACAACCAACTATAGGGGGTGCTCTGCCCAGGATGAACGACTATCCTATCATAGACTCTGACAAATCAAAGGAAGAATTTACTGTAAGTGTGGCATAAAATTTAGTTTGACTATTTGTCTTTGCTTACTCACTTTATGATTTCGGATGTCTTGAAAATATATAAATGCAAAAGAAAGATTCTTTACTTTATTGATATGTATTTTTATCTGTAGTTTAATCTTTTTGGAAAATAATTGTTTAATGTGCAAAGTTCTGAGATTTTTATTGTTCTGATTTCAGGCCACATTTGTTAAGAAGTGTGGTTCTGACGACCAGTGTCACAGTGACCTCAGGGTTTTTGCCAAATTTAGAAAACTCCAAACGTAAGTAGAAGTTTTATTTTCTTTCTGTACCTTCCATATATATTAAAAAGTCAAATGTATATGAAGCTAACTGAGAAGTTAAAACAGGTATGGTTACATTCTGTTTCATAAACAGCATGCCAACACTTGGGACATCATCAGTCACACTGAAGTTACGTGGTATTATATTGTATTGTATATAACGTTGTCCCAGAACTTTCATCAGAATGCCGTTTTGTCTTATTTCAGTGATAAGGATGGTACAGTTGTTCTGAAGCTGGGAGAGGACAAGGAAGTCTTGCTGGACATTGATTTCAGTAACATGAGGGAGTCAGCGTACCTGGCCACCCTGACCATTACACACCCGCCCAGCTTTTCTTATGTCGGGGTAGAGGGCAAGGTAATCTTTCTCTTTCTCTCTCTCTCTCTCTCTCTCTCCCCCCCCCCCCCCCCTCCCCCACTGGCATGATTTTTTTCCGGAAATTAAATCTGCCACTGCATAGGATACTTTTTATATTACTTAATTCATAAACCTCACTTCATGCTGCAATTCTGTTTTCTTTATTTTCAAAGATAGAAATCTGACTACACTATGCTGTAAATATTTTTAACATGTTAATGCCTGTTTTTCTGACATCAAATGTGTCATACATAACCCTGTTAACTGTATTGTTGCGATATTCCAGACCCGTGTCTGCACACGTCCCATTCAAGATGAGCCGAGGCGGGTGTGTGACATGGGCAACCCCTATGCACAGGGAGCCTCAGAACTGCTCACGCTGAAGTTTAGCACAAACAAAGTGACTCCTCAGGATTCCTTGATAATAGACATACAGGCAAACACGTGAGTGTCCAGTTGTGATAGGTCTGTTTGATAGTTTGTGTTCTTTTTTTTTGGTGGTGGGAGGGGGGGGGGGCTGGTGACTTTACTTAGGTATGGTGCAGAAAAGGTTATCCCTGATCCCTGAGTCACTTTTATAAAATAAGCAAACAAATATGTAGTAAGTCCTTCAAATATATATTGTTTATGTAGGCAATTATATGTAAAAATAAAGGTACTCATTGGAAAACAGTTTCAAAACCTAATGCCTTTGTTTATGCACTGTATATTCACACATTTCTACTTGTCTTTCAGCACAAGCTTTGATGTAGATGAGGGGAACAACAAGTTTTCTTTGTCTCTCAGACCCATTATAGAGACAGATATGTTACTGAGAGGGTGAGTACAGTGACATGGATATTTTTTTACACTAAACAAATGAAGTGTATTGATTAATTACTTTGTCTTTTTATTATCCCCACCAAGGCAGCTTTATTTTTGCCTTTGTTTGTTGAGGGACTTACTCAAAAAGGTTAGAACAGATGATAGGCAGTCCATGACACATCATTGAACCCTGTTTTAATGTAATCTGTATTCATATTGTATGTGTCCATATATCCTGATTTAAGATACTGAACAATTTATGATGTAAGTGGCTCAGTTTTTGTATTGAGTGTATAATTTTATCGTCTATTGTCTTCCCATTTGCAGAGGGTCTGCCCCAGAGCAGTTGTTCTACAGTGGCAAAGTTGTCGGGGAAAGTGAGATCAAGTATGAGGAACAAATCGGAAAAGAAGTTAACCATACTTATGAGGTATAGATATTCAACCTATATATATATATTGATATTTGGCAATATTGTCTTAAAAGTTCTATTTTCTACATTGTTGACATTTTGAAATTTGTAACTGATACCTAGCCCTGATGCTCGTATAAAGATTCATGATCATGAGTACATTGTGTTGGCCAAGTATTTCATTGATTCCTGTTTATGCTAGGGCCTACATACAAATCAACTAAAAGAAACACAAATTCCCTATAACTCTCCATTTACAATCACAACACTATACTATAATACAGATACTTTGTTTTCTATCATCAGATCATCAACAATGGCTCAGGCACAGTAGAGAGAGTAAATATCATAGTCAAGTGGCCATATGAGGTGGCTAATAACTATGAACAGGGCAAGCACCTGCTGTATTTAGTTCATACACCCATAGTAAGTATTGAGTCTGTATGTGTGTATTGACAGCATGTGTGTGTGTACATGTAATGCATAGGGGAGAACAGTACATATAAAAATACATATGGAGAGGTTAAAGGGTGAGAAGGGTGATTGCATTAGTAGGATAATATCTAAATTATGAGATTATAATATGTTTTCTATACACCTTGCAAGTTTTAATCAGTACAAATTTTTTATTCCTTTTAGGTGGAGGGCACTGTTGGCAAGTGTAACATGAAGCCAGGGCAAGTGAACCCTCTTGGTATTAAAGTAAGTATACTTTTATCAGGCTATTTTATGGAAAATATAGGTTTGATTCTTATCTTTATGTTATGTACATCAAAATTTTTACCAATAGTTTGATTTATAGGGGACATCTTATTCTGAGAGAAGACAGACTTTCTTTTGACTGTTATCTTACAAAAGGATGTTCATTAGGAGGTTCACCTATATTGTCAAGAGCATTGAGTCCTTTTGAACCCAGTTGAATTTGCAGTAGCCCACTGTAATTGGAAAACTGAGTCTATTTTAGCAAAAAGTAACAATTGCCTAAGCTTTCAGATGGAGTGTTGATTGATTAAGTGTATTACCACAGATTTATTCTGAATTTAAGTAGGCAACAATTTCTGGCTTGAAAGCTGAAAAAGACATTCAGAAAATCTTTTGTCTGAAAAATATTTTTGTAAAGTGTAGCCCAGATTTGCACAGATTAAAGTTAACACGTTACTGAATAAGATTTATGGGGCGTAAAAGGAAGAAGGAAAAGTACTGAACACTGCTTTTATGTAATCACACATTTCCTAGAAGTGCAGTTTGCTTAGCAATTTTTACAGGTACAATGCTATATTTATTTTGCTTTTGTGGTAATAGATCTGTGGAATTGGATATGTTATGCTTACATTTCAGAAAAAAATTTTTTCATGTGAAGATGCTCTTTTATTAGCTTTCAGCTTACATACAATGTGCTGTTAAGAGCTACAAATTTTGTGTTTCACATTTGGTCTGGGGTAAAACATGCTTTTGTTAATTAGAATTCTAGGGCGTGACATGATATTGATTTAATTTTTAAGGGGCATTGCTTTAAGAAAAAAGGACAGAGTATATATCAACTTCTTGCACTTGCTTCTTGCTAAATTGCAGATCTGAAATAAAAAATAATGGTTTTGCTTTATTGTGTCTGCTTTTTGCCAACTGCAAACACAGGTCAAAGATCATCCATACCTCCACCCCAGAAACTACAGTTTGGGTGTAAGTTGGGAACAGGACATATTGTTGCTGTTTGGTTGCTTTGTTTTTATCTCTTCTACTTTTTCATTGTTATATTATTGTGATGCTCACAATGTTTTACCTTACAGTTGTAAAAGAGTTACTCAAAGTTGTTGAGTCTATGTGTGTAATGAAGCATGTTGGATGCTGTGTACGGAAGAAGACTTTTCTATGTTGTGTTTCCAGGCAGGCAGAGTTGACCTAAGTTGATAAAGACCCAACTCATCTGACAGACTCAATGGCTTTAGTAATATTATGATTAGCTCACCATAGAAAACTAATATAAAGATGCATTATCTCAGGTATTTTGAGAATAGATGGGGGATAAAAGAGGGATTAGACTGGCTGTCTGTGGTGAGCTAATCGTCATTGGACAGCCTGTGAGACAGAAGGATTTAGATTGGCTTTCTGTGGTGACCTAATCGTAATGGGGTGGTCATGGGAGTTGGGTCATAGTGAGATAAGTTCATCCAGTTTGACTGAAAACAAGACATCAAACCAACAGTTCACCTTGTATCTCCATCAAGCAAATAAATGTGCTTGTCTGCCATTTTATTTGCCAATGGCTCACGTAGAATAGTCTTCTACTGTGTGCAGCATAAGTGTTTTGTATTGAGACATGTGGAATGGGTAATAGTTTGTTTTTTTTTTACCATCTTTCTCTTTCTCAATAGTAATATCTTCTGTGATAATGATATTAGTTTGTAGTATGGTAATATTTTGTCTAAGAAAGAAAGTGATAATTTAAAAAAGGAATGGAAGAAGGGTTACTTTGATTAAATTAGTACCCCATGATGTATAGCCCGATTTTTGTCACAAAAATGTATTTTGAGATATATCTGTTACAATATGTTCCATAATTTGTTATCACCAATTGCTTTATACGTATTTTACAGTAGACTAGCAAATAAAGAGTTGTACGTAACGTGAAATTCTGTAGCGTTATTTCTACTTGTAGCTTATTTGTACTTGTTATCTATCTTCAGTAACTGTTGTCACTTTTGCACAAGTGTTTTACTTCCACAATTTGATGTTCTTTTCCTTGGTCACATCATTGTTTATGTGGAGATCACAAGTGTATTAACGGTCTTAGCAGATTCAATGTCAGTTGTTATGTGTATTTGTATTTTATGTCGAAGGGAAGATGAAATTCACCCTAAAGTTGAGCCTTAGTTTAATGACACACATGCACACACATTTTTCTTCATTTGCACAGCTTGGTTTTCATATTTAAGCCATTCACTACAGATACGTTCTTAGATAGTAGATGTTAAGATAATTTTATATACATATATTGTACAAAAGTGCATATTTTTTCACTATTGATCTTTGGAATATATGAAAAGGTTATTTTATTNTAAATTCACACATTTCTACTTGTCTTTCAGCACAAGCTTTGATGTAGATGAGGGGAACAACAAGTTTTCTTTGTCTCTCAGACCCATCATAGAGACAGATATGTTACTGAGAGGGTGAGTACAATGACATGGATATTTTTTTACACTAAATAAATGAAGTGTATTGATTAATTACTTTGTCTTTTTATTATTATCCCCACCAAGGCAGCTTTATTTTTGCCTTTGTTTGTTGAGGGACTTACTCAAAAAGGTTGGAACAGATGATAGGCAGTCCATGACATATCATTGAACCCTGTTTTAATGTAATCTGTATTCATATTGTATGTGTCCATATATCCTGATTTAAGATACTGAACAATTTATGATGTAAGTGGCTCAGTTTTTGTATTTAGTGTATGATTTTATCGTTTTAACGTAAATAGAATTGTCTTCCCATTTGCAGAGGGTCAGCCCCAGAGCAGTTGTTCTACAGTGGCAAAGTTGTCGGGGAAAGTGAGATCAAGTATGAGGAACAAATTGGAAAGGAAGTTAACCATACTTATGAGGTATAGATATTAAATCTAAATATGTTAGGCAATATTATCTTAAATCTTTTTTCTACGTTGCTGATGTTTGTCAAGAACTTAAAGTGAAATTGAGATTTTGAACCCTGAAGATCATATTAAAATTCATGATCATGAGTCCTTTGTGCTAGCCTATTTCTTTGATTTCTTTTTATGCTAGGACCTACAAACAAATTAACCAGGAGAAACTGGCACGAATTCCATATCACTCTCCATTTACAATCACAATACAATACTCTAATGTAGATATTTTGTTTGCTGTCATCAGATAATCAACAATGGCTCAGGCACAGTAGAGAGAGTGAACATCATAGTCAAGTGGCCATATGAGGTGGCTAATAACTATGAACAGGGCAAGCACCTGCTGTATTTAGTTCATACACCCATAGTAAGTATTGACAGTGTGTGTGTGTGTGTGCAAGCCTGTATGTGTGTATTGACAACATGTGTGTATGTGTGTGTACGTGTAATGCATAGGGGAGAACAGTACGTAGAAATATACATATGGAGAGGTTAAAGGGTGAGAAGGGTGATTGCATTAGTAGGATAATATCTAAATTATGATATTATGATATGTTTTCTATACACCTTGCAAGTTTTGATCAGTACAAATTTTTTTATTCCTTCTAGGTGGAGGGCACTGTTGGCAAATGTAACATGAAGCCAGGGCAAGTGAATCCTCTTGGTATTAAAGTAAGAATACTTTTATCAGGCTGTTTTATGGAAAATATAGGTTTGATTCTTATCTTTATGTTATGTACATCAAAATTTTTACCAATAGAGAAGACAGACTTTCTTTTGACTGTTCTCTTACAAAAGGATGTTCATTAGGAGGTTCGCCTAGCATTGGGTCCTTTTGAACCCAGTTGAATTTGTGGTAGCCCACTGTAATCGGAAAACTGAGTCTATTTTGGCAAAAAGTAACAATTGCCTAAGCTTTCAGATGGAGTGTTGATTGATTAAGTGTATTACCACAGATTTATTCTGAATTTAAGTAGGCAACAATTTCTGGCTTGAACGCTGAAAAAGACGTTCAAAAAAATCTTTTGTCTGAAAAATATTTTTGTGAAGTGTAGCCCAGATTTGCACAGATTCAAGTTAACACGTTACTGTATAAGATTTATGGGGCGTAAAAGGAAGAAGGAAAAGTACTGAACACTGCTTTTATGTAATCACACATTTCCTAGAAGTGCAGTTTGCTTAGCAATTTTTACAAATACAATGCTATATTTATTTTGCTTTTGTGGTAATAGATGTGTGGAATTGGATATGTTATTCTTACATTTCAGAAAAAACTTTTTTCATGTGAAGATGCTCTTTTATTAGATTTCAGCTTACATACAATGTGCTGTTAAGAGCTACAAATTTTGTGTTTCACATTTGGTCTGGGGTAAAACATGCTTTTGTTAATTAGAATTCTAGGGCGTGACATGATATTGATTTAATTTTTAAGGGGCATTGCTTTGAGAAAAAAGGACAGAGTATATATCAACTTCTTGCACTTGCCTCTTGCTAAATTGCAGATCTGAAATAAAAAATAATGGTTTTGCTTTATTGTGTCTGCTTTTTGCCAACTGCAAACACAGGTCAAAGATCATCCATACCTCCACCCCAGAAACTACAGTTTGGGTGTAAGTTGGAAACAGGATATGTTGTTGCTGTTTGGTTGTTTTATTTTTATCTCTTCTACTTTTTCATTGTTATATTATAGTGATGCTCACAATGTTTTACCTTACAGTTGTAAAAGAGTTACTCAAAGCTGTTGAGTCTATGTGTGTAATGAAGCATGTTGGATGCTGTGTATGGAAGAAGACTATTCTACGTTGTGTTTCCAGGCAGGCAGAGTTGACCTAAGTTGATAAAGACCCAACTCATCTGACAGACTCTAAGGCTTTAATAATATTATGATTAGCTCACCTTAGAAAACTAATATAAAGGTGCATTATCTCAGTTATTTTGAGAACAGATGGGGACAAAAGAGGGATTAGACTGGCTGTCTGTGGTGAGCTAATCGTCATTGGACAGCCTGTGAGACATTAGAAGGATTTAGATTGGCTTTCTGTGGTGACCTAATCGTAATGTGGTGGTCATGGGAGTTGGGTCATAGTGAGATAAGTTCATCCAGTTTGACTGAAAACAAGACATCAAACCAACAGTTCACCTTGTATCTCCATCAAGCAAATAAATGTGCTTGTCTGCCATTTTATTTGCCAATGGCTCACGTAGAATAGTCTTCTACTGTGTGCAGCATAAGTGTTTTGTATTGAGACATGTGGAATGGGTAATAGTTTGTTTTTTTTTTACCATCTTTCTCTTTCTCAATAGTAATATCTTCTGTGATAATGATATTAGTTTGTAGTATGGTAATATTTTGTCTAAGAAAGAAGGTGATAATTTAAAAAAGGAATGGAAGAAGGGTTACTTTGATTAAGTTAGTAGCCCATGATGTATAGCCCGATTTTTGGCACAAAAATGTATATTGAGATATATCTGTTACAATATGTTCCATAATTTGTTATCACCAATTGCTTTATACGTATTTTACAGTAGACTAGCAAATAAAGAGTTGTACGTAACGTGAAATTCTGTAGCGTTATTTCTACTTGTAGCTTATTTGTACTTGTTATCTATCTTCAGTAACTGTTGTCACTTTTGCACAAGTGTTTTACTTCCACAATTTGATGTTCTTTTCCTTGGTCACATCATTGTTTATGTGGAGATCACAAGTGTATTAACGGTCTTAGCAGATTCAATGTCAGTTGTTATGTGTATTTGTATTTTATGTCGAAGGGAAGATGAAATTCACCCTAAAGTTGAGCCTTAGTTTAATGACACACATGCACACACATTTTTCTTCATTTGCACAGCTTAGTTTTCATATTTAAGCCATTCACTACAGATACATTCTTAGATAGTAGATGTTAAGATAATTTTATATACATATATTGTACAAAAGTGCATATTTTTTCACTATTGATCTTTGGAATATATGAAAAGGTTATTTTATTATTTTTTTTTTTTCATTCTGTAGATACTCTATGGTATATATGACATCTTTTTCAGTCAAACAGAACCACAGGAACCACCGCAAAGCAAGATGGCGATGTCATCAACTACAGCAAGAGGCGCAGGAAGAGAGAGATGGTTGTACCCGCCAGAACTCAAAAAGACGAGAGCGGGAGGGAGGTCAAGGTCGTCACTATGGTGAGTCTTTCAATCAGGATGACGTCCTAGACAACTCTCAGGGGGAAAGATTAGGTAGTGTTCATACTTAAATTTTGATTACCTTCATCGATGTATTTTTTGTCTAAAAAAAAAAGTCCTCTGAATAATTATCCCCATCCTGTGGGTGGTCTAATGGTATATGAATTGGTTCCAGGACTGTCAAGCTGGGACTGCTAAGTGCATCACATTCAACTGCAGTATAGGGAAGATGACAACTGGAGACAGTGCCTTTGTTAGGGTCACAGCTAGACTGTGGAATAGCACTTTTGTCGAGGTAAATATAGTCCTGTTGTGGATTGGTTAAAATGGGATCCAGTGAGTGTCTTGTTCTGTTGCTTTTGTAAGGTTCACTATATGTGGGAATGGCACATTTGTTGGGCAAATACATTCTTATCATTGATTGGTTAAAATACTGTTGTAATTTTATAAAACTATAAATATAATGTAATGTAAAATACAGGGATGGTTACAGAGATATTTTCTGACAGTCCTCCAAATTATCTTTGTTGTGCCTTTCTCCATTTTTGACCTTCTTCCGACAGAAAAAATTAGATCCCTGTCTATTTAAACTTTAAAAATTCTGGCCACCTGCCAGAAGACGGTCTTTATCCGCCATTGAAATATGATGTAAATATGATACAGTCATTCTTGTTGTATGATTGAAATGATAATGTAAACTATTTTTAAGATTTAAAGATGTTTCTCTTTCTAGGACTATGCCAGTGTTGACTATGTTGAAATATTTTCTTATGCAAGACTAGAGATTCCAGCAGAATTAAATATTATCCAGCTCAAAACAGAAAATGATGACACAAAAGTAAGTTAAACTGAGCAGTTGTATGAAAAAAAATCATTTTAATTCAGAAGAGTGCATGTTTTGGGGAAAGGGGTTTCTATGATTAGTTTTGAAAGGATTTTTTTTTTAATTTTATAAAATATATTAATATAATTTGCAATGAGCATTTGGTAAAATTTCAATGGGTCTCTTATAGTTCTTGTAGATTTTTTTTTTTTTTTTAGCAGTTGTTAATTAACTTGTTTCTATGTCAATGCAGGTAAAAACCAAAGCAGAACCTCGATTAGGTCTGGCTCCTAAATCGGACGTCGCCTGGTGGATAATAGTAGTTGCTGTGGCAGCAGGAATATTATTACTGGTTATACTCATCTTAGTTTTATGGAAGGTAAGAGATGAATTCTACATCACTGGCCAGGCCTGAATTTTTTTAATGAGATATGAATATATTCTTTCATGTCTGCAGCATCAGCTTAGTAAATCACTTTTTACTTGGGTGAATCTTTTGAAAAAGACAACAGGAAGTGAAAAAGACTGTATTCCTTTGTAACTGTTTAAACCTGTATGAAGCTGATCATCTGGAAAACACTTGAATTTTAAAAAATTGTCTTTAGTTTGATAATTGTTTGATTTCTTTTGTTGGTTTCTCAAAAGAAGGTATGTTTATAGAATAATAAAGTTGCAAGTGACCTAATTGAATATAGTTTTCTTAGTCGTTAATTAGTTCAACCACATTAATACACAATGTATGATCTCCAGTCAAATATTTAGATTGCCTTTCAGCATTTTGTTGAATAATCTCACTAAATTTTCTATTTGCTTTACAGCTTGGTTTCTTCAAGAGGCGACGACCAGAGTATGAAGATATGAATGCCACACATGCTGTACGCGTTGAAAAGAAGACAAAATACGATAAAGTAGCATCAGACGATTTCTAACCTGAGAGACAACAACACCTGAATGGATATACTTAACTCACAATGGATATTGAGGAAGGCTGAAATGTGAAAACAAATAAAAATATGGATGTGGGATGTCTTGGCCAAATATTGCTCCCTAGATGGAGCTGTCTAGAGGAGAGCTCTTTAAGATGTTAGCTATGAAGATTGTAAGTGAGGATTGTTGAAAGTGAAATGTTTTCTGTCTTAGACAGAATGGACTGACTGCGTGTTGCCAAATATGTGGAATTACATGAAAATTTAAAAGGAGTTGAAGATGAAATTTAGGATGTAAGATTTAAACATGAATCATTTATGTCATAATAGTCATTTTGAGTGTGATATGGTGTCATTCTCATTAATTAATTAATAAATAACAATAGCTCACTGTGTGTCTGATAAATTATTAAAATTGATATAAATGAGAATGAAATATGAGTGCCTCCATTATAAATGTAAAATTAGAGGTATTTCAAATCAGACGAGAAATCCAATTTTACATTTTTGTTTATATTCCAAATGAGGAGAAAATGTTTCATTGTGTTTTCATCATGAATATCATTGACATTTTATATTCTCCACTAAGGTAGAATTGTTCATCTTTAGTTTGATATACATTATAATGTGGGATCGCATTTTTTCTCAAGATCTTCACATAAGCGCTGTAGTTACACCACTGCCTTTTAGGCCCATTTCACATTAAGCAGAATACTATACTGGACTGGACTACTTTGAGAGATAGACAAATTAATAACCTGGCTGTTAAATAAACTCAGTTTCCCCACCTCACCCTGCCCTTGGCACAGCCAGTTAATTAACTAATTAACAGCAAGAAGTGAACTTTATGAGAATTTGCTCACACTCACATCACCATCCTCTCAGTGCTGGTGTGACACGTAAGGCATCAATTCGCTATTTGAATTTGCCAAGGAGATTTTAACTCTTTTTCACTGTATAATTCCATTTTAATCCCTTTCATAGTAGACTTGTCCAGTTAAGTATACCAGTAGATACAAAAAGGGGTCTCCAAGCCTTCAGATACCAGTTCTTCAGTTCACATACTTACTCCTGTGTTGTTGTTATTATATTTAGGTTGTGACAGCTGTGCACATATTATTATTATTATAAGAATTGATAAAAAGAATAAACTCTAACATAACTAGTGTTCATTTCCTCCTTCAGCTAGAAGCTGTCAAATGTACATGGTTGTCCGAAGTTTTTGTTTCTTATGGAATTGAATTACAAAGACAGAGATGATAGTAGTTCTGATGATAGTTTTAGTTTGTGATATCTTCATTGCAAGACATGAAGCTTGTTGGTCTATGTAGTGTGTGGTAACAAGCTACAATTTAATGTTTTTTTTTTTTTTTTTTTTTTTTAATGCAAAAGCTTTACTACATGACAGACATATATGCCATTGAAGTTGTTATTATGCACGGAGATAAATAGCATCTCTACATACCACCAAAATACTTCAGGTTTCCTTTCCTGATCTCAGACTGCCTTTAAATAGCATTGAAATGGTGATAGATGACTATACATTGCTAGTACAATTTCTGATATTCATATTGAGGTGGACAATTAGTTAGTCTAAACATTCAACTAAAGTGTCTTATTGCTGGAATTTAGTAGGCTAAATCAAGATGGTACAATCTACGTAGAATTTGTAAAATGTGAAAAAATGAAGATGTGAAGTGATGTTTTTTATAAGCTTTGCTGTAGATATGTGTATAAATAGTAACATTAGTAGTAAGACTACAGCCTGTATATTTGCTACAATGATTTTTTGTAAGATGTAAACTTTGTAAAGTACAAGATGTAATATGTAGATGATCATATGATAGTGTAGCTTATTGCTTGCTAAATAACACTAAGTTTATTATGCTTAAGTTAAAAAATAATTAGGCATGTTTAAGTTAGTTTTTCTTTGAGATTTTATGATGAATGTGCTGGAAAAATGTATATATCACATGAAAATATGGATAATATACTATAAAATATTAATGAGGAGAATCCTCATGACTGATATATAAGTAGTTTGACAAGTATGTAATATCAAAATCTTTGCTTATTTTATAGACAGAGTGGACTGAACATTGTATGTCAAGGTATTTGTAACGCTGCTATAGAACCGATAATTTCTTTCTTTTTTTTTTTTTTTTAAGTCATTATTATGGTCTTGTGTAAAGCACTGTGGTAATAGCTGCAAATTTAAGATGATTGTTCATGTTTTTTATTACGATATTAGCTATTTTATGTGTAAAAGCGACTAAGGTACAATTGATAGATTCAACATATTCACCCAACCAAATTAGACTTATTTTTAAAATCAAGACAACAGGGCCACGGAGAGAGCAGTACGGCAGTCGACAGGTACAAAGACGTCCGAGAATGGCCGCAGTCTTCCTGCATGCATACGTGACGTATTTCCACTTTCTGTGGAAGTCGTATGTAGGCAGCCTCGTGTTTTATTACAGAAAACGGGAACCACTGCCAAACACCTGTGGAATAATATTTCTGAAATTCTGGTGTCATAAGTAATATTTATTTTAATTTATTTTCTTTTTTATTATCAGCTTAGAGCCATAGAGCAGACATTATACATTGGACTAATACTCTGAAGTATAGTAGAAAGACCGAACACATTAGACGAAGTATTCAACTTCGTGTCCATGGCATTTATCCATAGAAATATTTTGTACACCTTCATTATACATAGAATGATCTGAAACCATGTGTCAAACATTTCCTAGCTGATGGTATGAGGAATGTATTTCATTCTGGTAATACGTTCTTGATGGCATGCAAGCCATATGCTATAGACATTAGCACTCTGGTAAGGTACCTTCACTCGTGCAATGCATTTGAATTATTTTAGACAGTCCAGTTTTATTACTTGAATATGTAGCGTAGAGTACGTGACGTTCATATCAATTATATGCATTTGCAGTATAAGCCATGCATTTTTGTATCAAGCCTAGCGCACGACCAGTGTTTTATAATAAAACGATCAGTAAAAACACTGATGAATATGTTCTGTTCTTAATGTAAATGGTGAATATGATTGAATTTTATCTTTCAACTTAAATAGCTTTGAAGTGGTAAGTTTCTGATAAACTGTCAAGCAGCCCTACGCGCCGCGTCACACTAACCTCACGTGTTAAACACATAGAAACCTTTCATCTCTGTGACATCCATTTATAAATGCTTTTTTTAAAGTACAAGCATTGGCAAAACTGGTTCATCTTGCTTACCACATTCCAAACTCGTTGGCTGCCGCCAGACACCACGCTGCATTACAAATTGTCACGTTAATCCCGAGACCCACGTGCTGTGTGACATGCGGTTCACACATTTCATGCGAGAGTTGGCGTTTGGTAGTCATTTGACAATAAAAAAGGTTGGGATCAATGGACGTTTTAAGTGTACTTTAAAGTTAGGTGAGAGAACACTTTTCGTTGTCAAATATGTGGTTTTGTGTCTTTTAATTGTCCTTTTTGTTGACACATTTCATTTACATTTAATTAAAAACTAAACCGCCATCTGGTTTTTAAAATGATTGTTACACAGGTGGGAAGAGAGCTTGTTAATTACACGCCCAAAGTGTCATCGGTTGACAACTCCCTTTTCAAGCCCAAGAGGAGCTTTTTAATACAAGCTAAACCACACATCCACAAAAAAATTCAAGACACTTTTGTGGCCGTTGAGTAGTCACGGAATTCCTTTGCACTAGACGGCGTCCTTTCTGCATCCCGTAGTACCGCCCCGTTTGAGAGTAAAAAATACTTTAAACTGGCCGACCACTGAGCATCCACTCTGCAACCAAAGCGATTCTTGTACCTCTTTTCTACAACCATAACGAACGCAGAAAGGACGCCGTCCAGTGTAAAGGGGGTGTTACTGAAGCTGAGAACACGCGAGTTTACTCACTGAGCCCTCCGATGATACCATAAAAACCAGACAAGATAAATGGTCATGCCATTTACGAACAAATGGCGAAATGCTTTCTCCCTTATTATGTTTAGATGGTTTTAAGAAATGTAAACTTAATTTAGGCGGAGAGCTTAATGGTCTGGGTGGATCAAATTTTTTTTCTTCAAATGATGGTGATTTCAAAAGATTAAGTCAAAATTGATTTTTATTAAAAACGCATTTATGCACTTATCGCATTGCGCACCTCTCACGGCTAATGGTCTGAAGTTGATAAAACTCACCGCGATTTAAGTGGGCACATTTTGTGTCAGAAAGTTGTTTGCTGAACTTCTCTGCGACACGTCAAAAAGTGAGTATTTTCATGTGATGTACCTGGTATTTTTAGTGAAATAAGTAATATTCTGAAAGTCCATCTCTCTCTCTCTCTCTCTCTCTCTCTCATTTAATTTTCCACTTTTCACTGAAGTGCTTGCCTAATTTTTATCTTATTATTGCAAAGCATGGCTTGATTTTCGTTTGATTGATTAAGACACAGATTGACTAAATCTATGTATGATAATTTGCAATTTCAACTGCATCCTCGGGATGGTAAGACATATGGCTCAATACGACATGCATATAAATTACTTATAATTTTCTCTGCACTGTACGCTTAGTGAAAAAATAATGAGAACTTAATGGTTGCTCATACCCTGGCGGACGTATTTCATACAGAAGAAATTAAAAAAAAATCTACGAAAGCGTCAGAACATGAACACGCTAGCGTATGAATTTACTCTTAACTGCAACAAAACAAGACTTGTATGTTTGTCAATGCTTAATAAGAATAACTAGAAGAAAAAAGTCATTATACTGCTTAAAATTTTGAAGAGACAAGACATATTGAATATGAAATAGTCCTCAGCCGTGAAAAGGGGATGGACTGAGTAAAAAAAGAAGCATCTTTTGAATGAGAAGATGTTTTCCAAAAGGATCAAGCAACTTTTCAACTTTTGCATTAAAATGTGTTGGACAGGGCCTATTCATGACTCTATGTATATGTTAAAAATAATAATAATGAAGTATTTATTGAAAGTCTAAAATTCATGTGAATTGTTCAGTGGGTTTTACATAAAAACAAGCACTTAAAGGGATAAGTCTTCGTATAAGATTCACATTTAACATTAAAAATTGTAAACAATTCGTAAAAAATAATAAAATCTATTTAAACACCAACACGGCAGTTATCAAAATTATGCTGGAATCTGTGCTTACCACGTGACCTCCAAGAACGGCTACCTTATATTACAAAAATTCATACTTTTCATACTATTTTTTATTTTTTTTGCCAAATGAACAGTTGCTATCTCTTAAAAACACAATTACCAAGATATATACAGACTTGACATTTAATATGGAATATTTTTTTCCAAGTAATTTTTTATCGGTTTTTTCCTATTTTGCTGACTGATAAATGGAAATAAGGATTACAGTCGTGTTTTAATAACTTTAAATTATCTCTTTGATGTCACTGTGACATCAATTCATTAATGGAATTCGCCAGAGAAGCAAACAAAAACACATTGCCTATTCTATGTCATACGTTTTCCATTAAAAGAGGTATTTTGGATCTCCATATTTTCCAAGTTATCGTCTGTAAAAGAGTTATACGCTCCACAAAAGACCCTCATGTCAGGTGCTAGTCACAGTATTGGTCGCTGTTACGCCTGGCCTCTTCTGGCTGTTGCCAGCGCTCTCAATCGGCAAGGCATTCCTTGGGGTAGGTTTTTGAGTTCAATCTGGAATAACATTCCGAGCATCGGTCTAAAATTGTCCAATGTGGTCCAGTTTTATTGTAGGACATGTAGGCAGTTGATTCGGCGAGTAATGGCCTACCGAAATATTGTCTATGTGGCTCAAATGTGGCGATTTTAATGACCAGGGTAGCTGCTCATTCCCGTGGTTCTGTAAGTTATCTGCTATTAAAAGTGCTCTGTGTGAACCGGCAACCTCACCGTGCAACCTAAAATTGTTCCTAAGGTGTCCCCTATCAAATGATAGTCAAGTGGTTCCGAGATTATACCTTAATTTGATCTGGTTCAGGTTTTCGTCGATGACTACCATTGGTGTTTTGGCACCAATGTGGTATCCACTCCAAATACTGACGCTGTCAATCACCCTTGTCACTTTAGACCCGGCATATGCTTCGTCGTAGGCCTCTTCTGGATATCTGTAAACTCTGTTTTGACTAATTGGGCGGTACAGGTGAAATCTGACCTCAATAAAGAAAGCCACGCTGTTTCAGTGTTCTACCAAGAAACGATTATGGCCTCCAATTAATTAGAGAAACAGACGACGATGTTTTGCTGTTTACAGTGGGTACCTCGGAGGTCGTTTGGTGTTCTTACCTGCTAAAACCAGTTTGGTGTTCGCTAAGGGCTTTGAAAAACGCATTTTGATGGCAATTTACCCCTCGTTCTGAACGGACTAAGTGTTATTTGTTTAGTTGCAGCAGCGTATCCCGAAAGACAGTGGGTCCTGTACCCTGTAGGTAAGATTTTGATACATTGGGGGTGACATCTGTGTAGGTACATCAGTCTGGGCATTACTCTATAAAACTGTGGGGACTGTTCCGTTTGGCGCTATGATCTGTCTGGTAATGTCTATCTGTTTCGCGCCATTCTGCCATAGATTAATAAATTTTAAATGCACTACTTGACTCATCTTACGCACTGCAAAACCGACCGCTTGCATGCAAAATTTCAAATTCTTCTATGCAGTAGTTGCCGACATATGGATACTTTTTTGACAGAACCAAGCTTTGCCTAAGCCAAGCTTTGACCAGCCCAAAGGAACACTACCCAATTAAATCACTGCATATTACATAATGTAGCAGCGCAACGGACATGAAAGTCAGTTAATTGGTAGCGACACACCTGACTTCACACGTCTCCATTCACAAATCTTATATGAGATCGGAGTTTTTTGAAAAAAGAACGCATTTTTGCCTAGGCATACCTTCGAAACTAAAATATTCCATATTAAATGTCAAGTCTGTAGAAATAAAATATTATGACACTTAATTGACATTCTAGATAAAAAAAAAAAGCCTAACTATTACGTAAAATCAATTACATGTAAGATAATCAATAATAAAATTTCCTAAAAATATATTTTAACTCCTTTTTAAAGTTATCACTTGATTCAATTGAGTAGATTTCAATTGGTAGAATATTCCATTCCATTGGATCAGCTGATGTTCCCATAAGACTTAAAGACGCCTTTATAAGGATTCAGTACTAGTTGCTCTACTGATCCCAAAGTTCTGGTAGGAACTAAGTAGATATTTGGATCGTTTATGTAAGGCCGGGTCACACTGCGCTTGCGACCTTTTTGCAACCTTTTTGCAACCACAAAACCTGGCGGTCGCTTGCGATCACTTTGCAAGCTAATTAAGAAGCTGTGGCCATTTTTGATCGGCAAGCAGTCGCAAACCGGTTGCTACAAGGTTGCAGTATGGTATCTGCAACCTCTTATAGACCATCTTCAAGTTATAGGTTACCAGTAGCACACTGTTTGCCGAGCGATACACAACCTGTCTGCAACCACTTGGTGACCGAAAACCGGTTGCAGGACTGTAGCAATCGCTTGTCAACTGGTAGCAGCAAGGTCGCACAGAATATATATGTTGCCAACTTGTGACAGTAGCTGCTTTCCTATAAATTCCCCTCTCAAAAGTCAAAATTTTTCTAGTAAAACGACTCCTTTTCAAAAAGACGGGACTGCTATAGTCATTGACTTTGTTTACCTAAGGAGTAAAACGAGTAAAAAAACCTCGAAAATACTGGGTGACTCCTTGGATTGCAAGCCCCCCCTTGTAAGGCGATTACAAACATTTGATGAAAGAACTTCGACTTGAAAATTAGGAATTTTTCATTTCCTTCCTAAAAATAGAACCAACAATGTTTTGTGAACTTTTGAAAAGACTACACCCTCACCCAACGAAACCAGTGCTGTAATAAAAACATAAACTTGCATACGTTTTAATCCTTATTAATCTCATAATACTCTTTAATATTTTCTTGGTCAAATACTTTGTCTCTTTCAGGTC